CAAAAACGCCTTATTCACAACATGCATTTTTACTTGCTAACAACACTGTATTTGTTCTATGCTTCTTAAGAAGAAAAGAGTAGCAATATCTTCATTACCACAATTAGAAAAGGCAGAATGGAGTGTCAAGTTTTTAAAAAATTTTGGCAAGACATTTTCATTTAGAAGGTATAAATGTATAACAGTCAGATTTTTTTTTTTAAGTAGAATGCTGTTCTCCTTCAGTTGGGTAGAATCTGGTGGTCCTATTCAGTTTTTAGTCAAAGTCCTGTTCACTTTAATACTACCAGACCCCTGTATTCAAAGTTCAGAGCTCTAACTTCCAAAAATTCTGATGTGATATATTAAAAATAATTATTTTGGGTTTCTTATTTGCTTTTTGTGAGCAAAATCATGACACCTTTAGGTGTCATGTTTGTAAGATTTTCTATATAGTCATGAAGATAAGAAACTACTTTTTTTAAAAAAAATCAGGAAGTTGAGATTTTCTTATAATTACCTGACAACAGGAGCTAGAGCTCTCAGACTAAGTTATAAATATTGCAAGATTTGCAATAAAATAGCAAGAGTTGGCAACAATATTAATGTGAGAGTTTCCCTGAACAAAACCAAAGTAAAAACCTCAGCATTTTGCAAAGTACTATTGAATTGAATGTACAAGATTACACAAATAATGGTTGGTAGTGCTTACTAAGAAAAAGGGAATGTCAACATAGGATATTAAAATGGCATAATGTTAGAGCTGATCAAAAATTTTCTGCCAAAAATTGGTTTGGATAGAATATTGGTTGAATTAAACAATTTTTCCTTTGAAAAATCTCTCTGCTTAGCATGGTACATTTTGACTTTCCCCTCAAAAAAACAAAAAAAAAAAACCCTCAAATCCCAAATGCATTCCTGAAAACCAAACAGGTTTTGGTTTTCAAACAGAAACCAAAAGTATTTAATGAAAATCTAAAACCTTTTAATCAGAAATATTGTCCTGCTGCCTCATGGGATATATGGTTCAAGAGTCTCAAACCTCCATTCTCCTTAATGGGATTGAATCATAAACTGGTCCCCACAGAGAATTCTTTCCTGCCTTGCTCATAGACCACAACCAGTCCAGGTCTCCATCACCACCACCACCACCACACATGCTGAAACTGGAAGCACTGTAGATGCTGCTGCAACTTCTGGCTTGAAGTGAATTCCATCATATACAAGGTTTACAGGTTGCTCAGTGGCTCATAGCACCTACCCTATACAAATCTAGCAGCCCAAATAGTACTATGCTTTAGTATATTCTTTCAGCAGGCCATAGTCTGTAGTGTCTGTAGTGTTCATTGACTTTCCTTAGCTAACTTCCCCACTTGCCTTGTGGTGAAGGAACAAGTCCTAACAGCAGCCAGCCCTGGCAAACTCTACCTTCCTTCACACTCCCTGCTCTCTCACAACAGTTTCATCCTGTCTGCTTATATAATCCCAGCTGTTGGGCTTGCTTCCTCCTTAATTGCCTTGTTATCCCCTCAGTTGTAGTTCTACTCTGTTAATTCACACCCTTTGTCAATTGCCTATCTTTCTGTTAGATCTCAACTAGCATAAACAGGTGGGGATTTAAGTGAGAGCACTGAGTTAGCTCCTGAGTCAGCACAGAATATTCCAAGCAGGTTCCCCAGATGGACTACATCTCCCATGAAGCACCACGATGTCTCAATGAGAGCAAAGACTATGGTACCTCAAGAGTGATCAAATGGTACATGAGGCATCTGAGCTACAAATCTCATGCAGTACTCTAGGGGGATTCCTGAAACATCTTTTCACCAAAAAGCCAACATTTTCTGCAGAATCCGAGGTGTCATTGTCTAAGCAGCTCTATTTTTTTCCATTCTGTTCCAGGTCATAGATAGTTACATCTCATAATACCCATGTTCATTGATTTCCACTGATATTGTAATAGGCCATTAAAACATAAAGGATCGATGCCTCTAGAAACGTTCAGTAACCCATGTTGGTGGATGGGAGCACAGCCATTCGTTTGTTTTTTCTTTAAGGCATCTAAGGGTCTATAACGTGAGTGCAGTCATATCAGAACTAACCCCACTGAAGGCAATAGAATTACACTAGTGTAAAATACTGGCTCTACCAGGACAATGGGGAAGAGAAGAAGGGAATAAGGGAGTAAAGATTCAGTTCATCAGAGCACCTGCATTATTGCTACAGAGATGGTAGCCTGGGATCCCTCCAGTATGCTGCCCCGTGTTCTTTGCCACCATAATAATCAAGTATGTAAAGATGAATGGAGCTATGGCTCTGCGCCTTCCTACTGGCTTGGCATTAGCTGGGAAGTAAGCAGCAGCCTTTTCAGAACACTGGAGCAAGTGGGGAGCAGGAAGAAAATGTGGCTGAATCACAATCCCTTAGAGGAGTTCCTCCCAGGCCAGAGCAGCTGCCTACACATGACCAACCCTAAGTGTTCCACCTAAGGGCTGGTCTACACTACTGCATTAGACTAAAAAAATCATGTTAGATCAATTTGATAATTAATGTATCCACACTACTAAGCCCCTTCTGCTAACCTAACAGGCTTTTAAAGTTGACTCCTGTTCTCCATCTCGGTGAGAGGCATAGAGCTAGAGTCTTAGATATCTGGGCAACACACTCCACCTATTAAATTCAATGGGATATGCAGGGCTCTAGGTTAGTTTGAGGTCTTAATATTATCTGATTTCCTACCACATGCAAGAAACATATTGTGGGGAAAAAAAATCAGTGTTTAAAATACCCAGCAAGAAAGGGATTTGGAGATGCTCTAGACATCAGCTCCTATTTTCACTTTTTAGAAGATTTCATTCCAAAGAATGCATCTGAGCCAGTAGCCTTTACACAAGCAAAAGTTCTGTTACACCACACATGGCACAGGAAAAACAACGGTAGAGCAGATCTTTTATATTGAGCTGCAGCCAACCCACAAAGGGGAAAATACTTTTGAGTTTTTTGTTTCTTTCTGATAAATCAGGAAAGCCTGAGTGACAATCTTTTTTTTTTTTTTTTAGGAAGCAGGGAGGGTTAAACTTATTTTTACATTAGAAATTCAGTTATTCTTAAACCAGTATTACCTGGGGGAAATGGAATAAGGAAAGTAGAAGGAAAATGAATTCGCAACTATTCCAGATTTGAAATAAACAATCGAGGAAAAAAAGTAGTCAGGCTATTTAAAAATACTGCATTTTAATTGTTTTTGAAGACATTATTTAATCTGAATGTCTTGCAGGTAGCTGGGGAAAAGAAACTCTTTGCTGAAGAATCAACTCTTAACCTTCCAATTAGTCTAAAAGAAATCACCCACTCCTGTTTTTTAGGGATCATCTGGTTAAAACAAGGGAGATGACATTTGTCATTCCAGGTATTTCTGAGCTAAAAATCCAAGCAAAATATAAATAAACAACCTCTTCCACTCTCCATTACCTTTCTGATCATTTGTATACATCTCCAGACACCAAAAGAAAACACACATTCACAACATTTTCCTTTGCATTCCACTGCTAAGCAGATTTTAGTGCTAATGCTGAACTAGAAGGATCAGTGTTCTAAACAAGTGTAACAAATCCTATTTATTTTAGTTTTCACATGAAAAATCAATACATGCAGCAAAAATTCCCACTTTCAGTTTCTGTGGCCATTGCTCTGTCTATAACATTATTTTAGTACACTCTGCTACTTCATAATATACAGGAATTGAAAGAAAAATATCCTGTCAAGCAGGTTGCCAGAGCTAAATTGAAGGATCTCTAGAATATGGGGTGCTGGTTCTCCATTGAGATCTGGTGCCGATGACAAGGCATAGTTATTAACCGGACAGATCTGGGGTCTTGATGTGCAAGTAAGGATCTATATCATCCTTTTCCCATCTACTGAGGAAAGGGAGTGGAGCTAAGTGATTCTATTCACCACTGCATGAGTGCCAGAGCTAAATTGAAGGATCTCTAGTATATGGGGTGCTGGTTCACCATCTTGATGTAAGTTACAGCAGCATTAGAAGTATCCTAATTTATATAGGATCAAGCTGGTCCCTGACCTTCCCCAGGCTTTAAGAGGCCTTTTCTCTTTCTCATCTATAACCCTAAACTGAGTATAGCTGGACCAGACTACAGAATCTGACCAGAGAGCTTGGTTCTTCTCTTTCTTATATCCTGTGTACTCATTCATACATCTGCAATGTTGGTGCAAAATACTATTTTTCTGACTTATAATATTTTATATCCACTCTGCATAGGTGTAAATGACTGCACAAGGTTTAATACTGATGACAAATCAGGCCCAAGATAAACATGTTAGTAATTACTCTGCAGTCCACAGGTGCAACCAGCTACTGAAACACATACTATGGCATCACTCTCCATTCTCATGGCAGATTTTTTTCCCCTCTACTCACTGTAGCTATACTTTTTTCAGTGTATAAGTCTAAACATAATAAATCAGAGCAGTATGAAACTGAGCTACTATGTGCAGTTTTGTCGGCAAGAGGAGAGCCGGAAAGAAAAACAGTTTTAGATACTCTAAATATTCTCTACCTTCAGAGAGCAGCCATTTCTGTATTATCATCTCCCTACATCATTCTAAATGTGCTATCTTCTCTGACTCTCATGACTAAAACCATTTAAAGACTTCCTTGTGTTCTTAAATAGACCAATATTGGCATCATAACTTCAGCTTTGGGAGACAGAAAAACATCTACCTAAGTACATTCATAATTCCATACTCATTCAGGAGAGCATTTAGCGCATAGCATTTTAGTTGGATTGTCTCAAATACTATCCGAGATGGGGATGCCTTTCCTGAATGGAAGCCTCCATCATGAATAATGAAAGAAGAGGTTATGTGTGAAGAGTTAGAATTGTTAGACACAAGTTGAGGATACAAAATTACGATTTTTGGTGAGATAATTTAAAAAAAAGTCAATATAAATAGCTTTTTTATTTTTGGTGGACAGCTTTGTGTTGCTATTTAATATTTTATACCTGTTAGAAGATCTGTTCAGAGAGCGTGCTGAATCTTTCATGCTGCATTTTCATTGTGGTTGTCCCGGTCTCTCTGAAACAATTCAAAATTACACAAAGGTTTTATTATAGGTTCAATATGCAGTTCTCCCTTTACCTTATTTTAATCCATGAGTGAAACTCTCCTCTGTGACAGAAAGTATAGTATTATTAAATGCAAATTTGCATTGATTACCAAAGGATAAATCTTCACAATGCACCAAGTGTATGCTTTAATTTAAGAAAACAATATCTGATTTTGATTTCTATCATTATAAATGCTAATACTGAACAAGCTTCTCTTGTTTAAAAATAGCATGCTGCAAAGGCATTACACCAACATGGCTTTCCTATGCAGTTCTTCTTCTGGTAGTGGGATGCCAAAATGTATGATATAACCCCCTGCCTCTTATTCCACTTAGTGCTACCCCTCTGTTTTTCAACCAACAAGGTGTAAATTTTAGGTATGAATCAGGCTGGCTGCAAAAGCAGTCTTATGGGCCCCAAAGGAATAACCCATGTGAGATCAACAAATATACTCCATAAATCACCACAGCATGAATGCTAGGGAAAAAAAAGATATTGATGAGTCACGCTAGGCATACAGTTTTCCATTGAAGAGCACTGAGCACTGTTTATTTAGACTAAGAAACATATAACCTACAGTAATTTCAAAGATCCTCTACGCTCTTTGATTTGCATGTGGTTCTGTACAGAGCTATAAAATGCCCTGTAACACAACTCTGGGTATTTTATATCTCTGGGCCCTGCACCTGTGCACAAAGCAAGATAGAGAAGAGAACACAATGGGTTGTTGATGAGGTGGGATGGTGTATATTTTGCTACTTTAATTTATTGGTATGTCAAATTAATTTATTATTTTGGGGCAAAGTATCATGCTGCTGAGTATTTTATGTATTCCTAGGTGGCTTGTAGCTATAATTAAGCTAGCACTTCTGTACAGATTAGATTAAAATATATAAAATAAAATAGATAAATAAGGAAACTTCTGCCATCCTTTGTTACCTGGGCATGAACTCAATGTAGTCACAGTCTGTACAGTTTTTGGTGCAAGAACTACACAAGTCTAGTTCTGCTGCCCTGTTTATCTACAGCAGGAGTTCTCAACCAGTGGTACACAAAGGTCTTCCAAGACTCATGAGGATATTTGCCTAGTTTTACAACAGGCTACATAAAAACATTAGTGAAGTCAGTACAAACACGGACAAAATGAGAAAGTAAGCAATTTTTCAGTATCAGTGTGCTCCGATTGTGTAAGCAAGTAGTTTTTATGATAGGCGACACATAGCGTATGCAAGACAAATCAGACTCCTGGAAGAGGTACAATAGCATGAAAAAGCTGAGAATAACTGATCTATACTACGCATGGAGTTTTGCTCCTGCTGTTCTGGTCTTCTGTACTGTTGTGATTACCTGTTATGGCTATTGATTTCTCAGCCCCCTGTCCACTTTGAAGTCTCATTGATTTAAGATTTTATTTACTTATGCTATGTTTGTATTTTAAAGTGTGAAAGCGAGCTTTCATTTGGGGCAGGGTCTATACAGATTTGAAGGCTTAGTGATCTGCAGATAAAAATCTTTGTTAGTATTTTTTTTAATTATTGGGTAATTAAAACATCTGTGAAAAGAATGTCAAATATCTGGACACTGGATTAATATAATTAATTAATTTTCATTAACTTCTTTACTCCTGGAAGACTTACCCAGCATTTCCTGGGTCCTTCAGGACGGGGGCTGGTGGTGGGGTGTATGTGAAAGTCAGGGCAGGGCCTTGGTAGTATGGAAGGGGGAGTCAAGGCAGGAGGCTAGAGGCATGGGGGGAGAGGGTGCAGAAGTCAGGGTGGGAGATTGAGGAGGGGCTAAAGGCAGGGGCTGGGAATGTGGGGAGGTACAAGAGTGAAGTTTGGGGGCTGAGAAGGGCACAAGGCAGGGGGTCCCATCCAATGAGGCTTTCCCCGCCATCTGGTGGGGCTTCTCTCCTCCCCTAGTTCCCTAGCCAGCAGAGACCTTCTCTCTCTCCCCAGCCTCCCTCAATTGGCTTTTTCTCTCTCCTCTTTCTCCTCCCAGCAATCCTGGCCAGCAGGGGCCTTTTCTTTCCCCCCAGATCCCCTGGCTGGCAGATGTCTTCCTCGCCCCCAAGCTGGCAGGGCTTTTTCCTTCTCCTCCACTGACGCTGTGGCCAAGGCCCAGGGAAGGGTTTGGGGTAGGGGGCTACGTACCTGGTCTGGTGGCAGGCAAGGTGGAGAGTCCCAGTCCCAGCTCCAGTTAGCTTGGTAGTGCAGCTGCTCCCAGTGGTCATTCTACAGTAGTGCTCTTCACTGCACACACTGTCCTCACTAAGGCTATGTCTACAATACGAGGGGTTTTTGTCCTCACTAAGGCTATGTCTACAATACGAGGGTTTTTTTTGCATGAGTCACGACATCATTAGCATATTTTCTGCTGAAAAAATTCATAGTGTAGACGTAGCCTAAGAGTATCGTGTCCCTTCTTTCTTCCCCCTTCCTTTCCATGCTATGAAAGACATTCCCATTCCAGAGTCTTCCATTGAGCTTTGTGTAGTGAAAAAGCTTATCTTCTTCTGCTAGCAGATATTGATCCAACAGAAAATATTACCTTACCTATCACGTCTCTCTCATAACTCAGGTCCAACACATTACAATTACACACACACACACACACACACACACACACACAAATGTATAGAGAGATGTACATTAGATAATACAAAATTAGATTTTAATTCAGCCCTTCTGCATTGCAGTACTTGGTTTATGGAAGCACTGTGGATATTACATGGATTGTAAGTCAATGAATGTTATCTCCCCAGTAGCAATTTCTCCCTATATTCTTGATTTGACCTATTCTCTCATGTATTTCTACTGTCTGAAATAAGATTGACAGCTCTTCAAAATAGGGAGCTTATCATTCTGTATGTTTTGTAATCAGCTATGTATACCTACATCAATCAATACATTATACCATGATTGTTAATTTAAGGACCATTATCAACATACTATTGATTTTTAAGCAGAACTCCTCACTGACACCACAGTATTTTCCACGGATTTGACCATGTGTCCTAGAGGTTTTTTTAGATCCCAGTGTCACTGTATACAAGCCCTTCCCAAATAAATTACAAGTGCATGGCAAATTAGTCTCTATTAGTGAAATCCATCTTCATACAGAAGTGTAACACAAGATCTATGACTACATAAATCCATCTTAAGCAATTAAGACTCTTGATTAGTTTAGTCTACTCTGGAAAATCATTTCATAGCAAAATCCCACAGCTGAGAATATTTTATCTCCAGCTCCTACATTCTTCATCCTAGACTTTAAACATTTCAGTGTTAAAGGGAAACAAAACTGTCTATTCAAGTCATGGATATGGCCATTGATATAATTGATCTTGACTTGATGGCTTTGACAATTTGGAGCAAGGCATTTAACTAATAACAGAAGAGGTATGGAATACAAGGGTACAGTCTTCAGTAGCTTGTCCCAGGCAGGAGCACTCTGCACAAGCTAGAGCTTCTGCAGCACTTCAACTAATAAGATACTTATTACGTCTGCTGTGATGACAGAACTGACAAATTTATCCTAACTGTGAATCAACTATAAATCAACTATAAATAGTGAATCAACTATAAATAGTGAGTGAACGTTTATGAAATGTCACAATAACCTATATCAACAAATGTTGGGGGAGAAAAAGATCAAAAGGGAGACAAAGTCTGAATTACTGTGGGGAACACATGCTCAGGGCCCTCCACTTCCCTGTGGCTCCTGCTGATGCTGTTGGGGGAGCAACTACTGCTGCTGCCCAGTGACAGCTGCTCCCCTCCCCCTGTTATTCCAGAGGCTGCATCCTTCAGGGGATAGGGTGCAATGAGGGAATAGGGTGTCAATGTTGAAGATTCACCTGCGACCCTTAGAAAATTGTTCCAATGGTTAAATACTCTCAGTATAAAATGTGTACACCTTATTTCCAGTCTCGAGTTGTCCAGCCTCAACTTCTAGTCACTGGCTTGTGTTATACCTTTCCCCATTAGACTGAAGAGCTTATTATTAAATATCTGTTATCTATGTAGATATTTACAGATTGTAATTCAAGGGTCAGTTAATCTTCTCTTTTTTAAACTAAATAGACCCTCTTGAGCCTATCAGTGTAACATGTGTTTTCTAATCCTTTAAATCAGTCTCATGGCTCTTCTCTGAACCCTCTTAAATTTATCAACATGCTTCTTGGGTTGTGGGCACCAGAACTGGACCCAATATTACAGGAGTGGTTGTACCAGTGCCAAAAGTAGAGATAAAAATAATCTTCCTATTCCCATTCAAGATTATTTTGCATCCCACAATTGCATTCACTCCACCATGACTTCCAAACCTTCTTAGTCACTGACTCCTAGGATAGAGTACCCCTTTCTGTCAGTATGGCCTACATTATTTGATCCTAGACTATTAAAATACATAGTGTTTGCTTGCTTACTAAGAGCTCTATCACTCCAAATTAGTTACCTATCATCTTCATTATTTACAACTCCCCCATTTTTTGTGTCATCTGCACATTTTATCTCTTTTTATTTTATCACAGGTCATAGGTAAAAAATAACATAGGACCAAGAACTGAGACCTTCAGAAACACACTGGCAACAGACCTATTTTAATAATGATCCCTTATTAACAGTTATATTTTAGACCTATCAGTTTTTAATCCATTTAATATGTACCACGTTAAAAAATGTAGAATATAAAATTAAGGGAAATGTTGTACAGTACCAAGTCAAATGCCTTAGGGTGTTTCTATGTAGCAGGACTTAACTTGAAATAAGCTACACAAATTGAGCTACCCCAATTGTGTAGCTTATTTTTAAATAGCTTATTTCAAAATTGGGAGTGTCTATACAATGCTTATTTTGAAATAGAGCACTCTTCCTCTCACTTCCTTTATTCTTCATACAATGAGGGTTATAGGAGTCGGAGTATGAAGTCCTCCAGCTTGACAGTATTTCGACATTATTTTGAAAT